TCCCACACAAGTGGTAGAATTGTAGGTTTTCAAGTTGCTTTTCTTATTTAATAATACATCATGGATCTGTTCTAAGTCTTTAAATGTTCCTACACAGTGCCATTTTAATATCTGTATGATTTTCTGCTGTGTAGACATAGAGATATGACCTAATTGATGCAAACAACTTTTAATTCTTGAATATTTAAGCAGTTTCAAAATTTGAAAACCACAAATAGCACTAAAGTGAATATTCTTGTGGTGATATCTTTAAGCATTAATGACCATTTATATATTTTAAACAATGATGTATATTCATCATTTTTATTCTAAAAACGATTAAACAATGGTGTGTTAAAATTTAAGACTTTGCTGAGAGCACCTTTCACTCCGATTTTTGAATTGCTTTTTGCTTTTATCCTGACTTTTCTTTCTTTCTTTTTTGAGGTGGAATCTCACTCTCCCTCTCAGGCTGGAGTGCATTGGTACAATCTTGGTTCACTGCTACCTCCACCGCCCAGGTTTAGGCGATTCTCTTGCCTCAGCCTCCGCAGTAGCTGGGACTGCAGGTTGCACATCACCAAATCTGGCTAATTTTTGTATTTTTAGTGGAGACAAGGTTTTGCTACATTGCCCAGGCTGGTCTCGAACTCCTAACCTCAGTCAATCCACCTGCCTCAGCCTCTCAAAGTACTGGGATTACAGCTGTGAGCCACTGTGCCCAGCCTATCCTGACTTTTCAAGCCTGTGTTCCACAAATAGTGATGGGTTCTAGGGACCTAAAGGTGACTTTCCCCTTGACAGTGTTATTTTCCTGGGTGGGGAAGGACCATTTTGCAAACGCCGGTGGTCCAGTGATCCTGTGTTACACTTGCTCTTGTGCAAATATGAAGGATGTTGTGGGGCAGGGATTAATTGTTTCATTTTTTAAATGTTATGTTTTCTTCTTCCTCTAATTCAAATGTACTTTGCTTTGAGCCTCAATTGAACCTGGCTGGTGGAAAGCGATTGTGAGCCATCTCCAAGTCCTGAGGTTTTGGCAGGCTTCCAACTCAAAGCAGAATATTTGAAGAGGGTCCTCTGGTCCCTACCTATATCAGTACTGCCGTGCTTCCTATTTGTATGCTTTTTGTTGAAGCCCACTAGGCCCTATGAAGTGAGGCAATTCTTCATGAAGCTGTCCTGGAGTATGTGTGTAAGATGGAAGGGGTTTTGGATGAGGCTGGGAGCCTCCTGGGCCCTGAGTCTTGCCTGCTTAGGGAGACCATACAGCCAGGCGTGCCCTGCCCATCTTTCTCCTACACATTGGGCTCCAGAGCAGCCCCTCGCCCAGAAGCTTCCTGTTTCTGGGACTCATTTGAGGGTAGCTGAGAAGGAAAAAAAGAATAGCTCTCATTTTTTAGAAATTATTTTGTATTGGTTAAAGGGAAACAAAAGTGTTACCTTGGCAAAGTACAGTTACTTAAATTTTTATTTTAAAATGTTCATGATTTTTTTTTAAATTTTAATAATTTTTAAATAAAAAAGTTTAAGACAGGAGGTTATTTTATTAGATTTTACTGTGTTTGGCAAAAAGGAGTTATGATTTAAATAACTTTTGCTCTAATAAGGCCAGCTGTTAATTTTCATGAACTGATCATATTGGTATTATCTCTAAAATAAAATTTTAGAACTAGTTTTTGGAATCATTAGCATAAACTGCCACTTCTAATTTAACATTTGTATGTAATTGAGAACAAAACAAGGATGCCCACTTTCACCAATTCTATTCAACATGGTACTGGAAGTCTTAGCCAGAGCAATCAGACAAGCAAAAGAAATAAAGGTCATCCAGATTGGTAGAGAGAAAGACAGACTGTCACTGTTCGCTGATGACATGATTGTATACCTAGAAAACCCTAAAGACTCATTCATAAAGCTCCTAGAACTGGTAAATAAATTCAGCAAAGTTTCAGGATACAAAATTAGTGTACACAAATCAGTACCCCTGCTATACACCAACATCAGCCAAGCTGAAAATCAAATCAAGAATTCAACCCCTTTTACAACAGCTGCAAAATAATAATAATACACTCTCTCTCTCTCTCTCTCTCTCTCTCTCTCTCTCTCTCACTCAGTCACTTAGGAGTATACTTAAAACAAGGAGGTGAAAGACCTCTATAAGGAAAACTACAAAACACTGCTGATAGAAATCTTAGAGGACACATCCCATGCTCATGGATAGGTAGAATCAACGTTGTGGAAATGCCCATACTGCCAAAAGCAATCTACAGATTCAGTGCAGTTCACATCAAAATACCATAATTCTTCACAGAACTAGAAAAAAATCCTAAAATTCAAGTAGAACCAAAGAAAAGCCCCCATAGCCAAAGCAAGATGAAGCAAAAAGAACAAACCTGGAGGCATCACATTACCTGATTTCAAACTATATTACAAGGCTATAGTTACCTAAGCAGCATGGTGTTGGCATAAAAATAAGCATGTAGACCAATGGAACAGAATAGAGAACCCAGAAAGAAAGCCAACTACAGCCAGCTAATCTTCAATAAAACAAAAACAAAGTGGGGAAAGGACACCCTGTTCAACAAGTGGTGCTGCAGTAACTGCCACGCCACATGTGGAAGAATGACACTGGATCCTCGTCTCTTACCTTACATAAAAATCAACTAATGATGGATCAAAAACTTTGAGACCTGAAACCATAACAATTCTAGAAGATAACACTGGTAAAACTCTTCTAGATGTTGGCTTTGGCAAAGATGTTCATAGGTAAGAACCCAAAAACAAATGCAATAAAAACAAAAATAAATAGATAAGACCTAATTAAACTAAAAAACTTCTGCACAGCAAAGGAAGTGATCAGAGAGAATAGTCAACCCACAAACAGGGAGAAAATACTTGCAAACTATGTATCCGTCAGAGGACTAATATCCAGAATCTATGAGGAACTGAAATCAGCAAGAAAAAAAATGAATAATTCCATCAAAAAGTGAGCAAAGTACATGAATAGACAATTCTCAAAAGAAAATACACAAATGGCCAACAAGCATATGAAAACATGCCCAACATCACTAATTATCAGGGAAATGCAAATAAAAATGGCAGTGAGCTTTCACTTTACTCCTGCATGAATAGCCATAATTAAAAAGTGAAAAAAATTAATAGATGTTGGTGTGGATGTGGTGAAAAGGGAAGAGTTTTACACAGCTGGTTGGAATGTGATCTAGAACAGCCACTATGGAAAATAGTATGGAGATTCCTTAAAGAACTAAAAGTAGACCTACCATTTGATCCAGCAATCCCACTATTGGGTGTCTGCCCAGAGGAAAAGAAGTCATTATATAAGAAAAACACTTGCACATGATGTTGATATAAGCACAATTCACATTTGCAAAAATATGGAACCAGCCTAAATGCCATCAACCAACAACTGGATAAAGAAAATGTGGTATATATATTAATATGTACACAAGAGAAAATACTCCACTGTAAAAAGGAACAAAATAATGGTATTTGCAGCAACCTAAATCAGGTTGGAGACCATTATTCTAAGTGAAGTAACTCAGGAATAGAAAATCAAATATTATATGTTCTCACTTTTAAGTGGGAGCTAAGCTGTGAGGATATGAAGGCATAAGAATGATACAATGGACTTTGGGGACCTGGGGGGAAGGGTAGGAGAGGGGTGAGGGATACAAGACTATACACTGAGTACAGTGTGCACTGCTCAGTTGATGGGTGCACCAAAATCTCAGAAATCACAGCTAAACTTATCCATGTAACCAAAAACTACCTGTTCCCCTAAAACTATTGAAATAAAAATGAATAAACAGCTCCCCCTTCCCCCCCACAGAGAGTTATTTAGTGGAGTGGGACTAGGCAAACTTTTTTCACAAAGGTCCAGATAATAATGAATATTTTAGGTTTTGCAGGCCGTGTGGTTTCTGATGTGGTGAAAAGGGCACACTTTTACACTGCTGGTTGGAAGGTAAACTAGAACAACCGCTATGGAAAATAGTATGGAGATTCCTTAAAGATCTAAAAGTAGCGTTACCATTTGATCTAGCAATTCCACTATTGGGTATAGTGAAGTAACTATTCACCTCTGCCATTTGTAGTACAATAGCAGTCACAGAAAATACCCAAATGAATAAACGTGGTGTGTTCCAAAAAAACCACAACAAACATTTGTATATAATTTTTTTTAAGTTGTGATGGGGGTTATTACTTTTTGTTAGATTGTATCATTAATTTATACTAAATGAGACTATTTTAGAAGACTTTTTTTTTTTAAATTCTGAAGTTAAATTAATTCAGTCAAACTAGATGACTAGTCTCCTTACCTTGCATCCCAGTTCTCTGTACCTTTAAAAGCATGTTTATTCACCCCTCAATCAGGAGTAATAAATGCCCTGACAGCTAAAAAGCCGTTGTGTTTAGTTCGCCAAGTACAGACCCTGGCACCTTTATGAGGAAGTACATTCCAGAGTCAAGTGCCCTGCACCCAGCAGCCTGCTTCCCCACCCAGAGGAGGTCAGCATCAGGGCAGGCAGCCAGAGCATTCCTGCAAGTCTAAACTGCCTCAGAGGAGCTTGAGTAAAGCCAGAAAAGAGACAGCAGGAGGAAAAAGTGCCCTCCTGGTACAGCCCTCTCTCTGACAAGGTCTTGGCAACTCACACAGTTGGATTCCTGTCAAAGGAGGGAGTCTCTGCTGTCAGTATGTAATAAAGACAGAATATTTGGATATAATTCATAATTAACTATAAGAAAAGTAATGGGTTAAGCCATTTGCAGTGGTTACACAAGTCTGTGACTATCTGATGCAGCATTTTAAGTTCTTAAAAATATCCCACTGAATACACAAATACTTGCAGCACATTTGGAAAGCAAGATAAGATGACATTTTCGGCATTCCTATTCTGGCTCTGTGGAAGGGGCTGCAAACAGTGCGTGTACAGGGTTGTGAAAATGATTTCTGATAGGATGGTTTGTGCACAGTGTGCAAGAGGACAGTTACTTACTGCTTGGACCAAGACAGCTGTTTCTGTGCAGCAGAGGGGACCTCATGTTGACAAATCTTCCAGTGTTTCAAGTGAAGTACAAAATCTGGATGTTTATGTGAACTTCCTAGAATTTGAAGTACTGGCAATTAATTTCATGAAAAAGTCTCTGTGTGCTAAATTAAACATTTCTGATAGACAGATTTGGCTTGAGAGCTGCCTCCCTGGAACCTCTCCTTGACAGAGCTGGTGTGAGTGGCTGATTGACCATTCGACAGATGACTCCATCCACCCTGAGGCTCACACTGTATTTCTGCAGCATCCTCAGTGATCACCACTATGTTTGATTCAAACACTCCATCACTCCAGACATGAACACTTTGTATTTAGTAGGTCAGTAGGCCAACTCCAGGGGATGATGGTGCCACACAGCGCTTGATCCCCCATAGTGAATGATTTGCCTGAGGGTAGCTGACCAGTACCTATTGTTGACCTGAGGTGGGCGCAGTCAAAGCAGAACAGACAGAAAAATGCTTTGATACAGTGAAGTACAGCAAGTATAGCTGTACTATACTTTGATGAAGTATAGCTCTGGGCTGCTGAAAAATAGCAATGTCAAAAACAATAATTATTTATTGAACACTTCTGATTGGCACATTGTGTCAGATGCAAGTCAGCAGAACCTCATTGTGGCTTGGGACAGTTAAACCTATGTTTTTGAAGTCAGAGGAAAGGCAAGTTATCTGAATAGAGATGGGTGTGTCAGTGTGATCCAGTAAGCCACATCCTGGTACATGCCGGCTCAGCTTCAGTAATCCATGTACTAGACTCGTAATATTATAAAGTCACTTAGGCAGTCTGAGCCTTGATTTCTTCCTCTGTCAGATGGGTTGCTGTCATGGGGATGCATCTGAAATGAGCTGAATGTCTTGTCAGAGCTTTTAGGGGCTTGGTATGCTTTATTTTCCTTCTCCTAAACCAAGAGGATGTCTTTTTATTCATAGTGTGGACCACTGTAAATCCATCTGTCAATGTTTGAGGTACGTTTGCTGTAATAACATCAACTTCATATACAAAATATGATGTGATTACATTGAGGTACTGTGGGCTTTTGAGAGTGAGGGGTGAGGAGAGGCCATTCAAGTACAGTGAGGGGGCTTGGGAAGGAAATTGGACATTCTCAGTTAAATCTAGAAGATTCAGTGTAAATCACATGTGAAGAACTGGACCAGTCCAAGCACACAATGTGAAGATTGCCTCTGTCCTGCCTGTTCATAGATCTTAGCACCCCAGGCAGCTAGTAGGAGGTGTCTTTCTTAAACTGTGGCCCTTTTCAGAGTGGTGTTTAGTCCAAGCCTTTTTTTTTTTTCCATTGTGCTAAAAACCATAACATTAAATTTACCATCTTAAGCATTTTAAGAGTAAGTTCAATAGTATTAAATATATTCACATCATTTTACAAGCAATCTCTAGTGTTTTCATCTTGTAACTCAAACTATACCTCCTAAACACTGATTCCCTCTTCCTGTTCCTCTCAGCTCTTGTTAATTGTCTTTCTACTTTGTTTCTGTAATTTTCACTACTTTAGGTATTTTATATGAATGAAATCATCTAATATTTGTTTGAGCTGTTTTTCTTCTCGGATTTTTTTTACACCAACATCTCTACGCTTCTCTCCTCCCCACCCAGATATTTACTGCTCTCCAGCCCTCTTGGAATTTTATATGACTATGAATTGGAAAGAACAAACTTCTTCCAGTGTGTTCATTAATGGTGATGACATTGCACGGTATTTTAAAGTTCATGTGGTTAATCATTCCGTCTTCTAAGTAAGGTGGTTTCTCCTATTTGACGTAATTAACTGCCAGGTCTACCTGAGTGCATTTTTCGTGTTAAGCAGACGATAGGAAGAGAAAAGGCAAAGCTGAAAGGGCTCCCAGAGGGGAAGCAAAGTTCTTGAATGAGGAGCACACAGAAGCTGTGGCTGTGGATCAGGGATTTCAAAAGTAATTCCTCAATCTCCGAGTTGGTCCAGGAAGATGAAATATATCACTTCTGTAATATCAGTGGAACTACTCCTGTGTTGTTGTCATCACAGAGACTGGAAAATACCTAACTAATATTCATTAGAAGGAAACTGGCCTAATAAAATAATGTGTGTTTCCCAGCCTCTGCCCCACATGAAATACCGTGTCTCTGTTAAAAGAAATCTGAGAGCAGGGTTGGAACTTAGTCGATCTGATTCCACGGTCCCACAGAAAGGCCAGGCTCCATGAGAGCCCACCAAAGGAGAGGAAAATGAGGAGGAATAATCATTGAGCATCACCATGTGCTCTGCAGATAGTATTTTACTCTCTTAAAAGATGCTGTAATTCTCACTGTTCAGGTGAGAAAGCAGAGGCTGAGACTTGTACAGAGTTAGAAAGCTGAGATAGGAACACAGCAGTTACAGTCATCGATATAGAGAGGGAAGACTAAAAATGTGATACATTTGTCTGTGCTAATATGGAATGATCTTCAGTATATAGTATATAAATGATGGGGGCAGAGAAGCAGAGGGGCCTGGTAGTATTTAATATGTTACCATTATATACAGAGACAAATTAGGTGGGAAAGTATGCATATGAATATATTTGCAAGCAGGATATATTAGGAACTAGTAACAGTGGTGACCTTTGGGAAGGGTTTCTGAGAGAATGGGGATTGGCAGTAGGAGACAGATTTATTTTCATTTGATTTTTTACTATGTGCTTTTCAAAAGCCCTACAGATAACTGTCATGAATGCATGAAATTTACAAATGCTGATTCACATTTTCAGTAGAGACATTCTCAGTAAGCTCAGAGATGAGACACTGATCTTATCCTAGATCATCGTGATTTACAGAGAAAGTAACAGAACAACATAAGATCAATAGTACAAAACTCAAATGTTAGGAATTTCTCCTGTGTCTAACAGACACAACCAGAGTCTTCCAGGATTGGGGCACAAGTCCAGGATTAAAGTACAGACGATTACATATAGGTTATCAAACCAGAGGGTGCTCCATTTAGTGAGGAAGCTCATTATGTAGTCTTTGGATTAAATGAAGTAGGGACACTGTGTTTTTTGCCCAAAGAAGTGAAGTGATTTTCAAGTGTAGCAAGTTCTAGGACACAGAGGATGTCTGGATGAGAATCACACAGCATGGAGGAATGTTTGGGGAAAGAGAGGGTAGAAACTGGGAAAAGAGCTCTCACGTTTATCCCACGCTTGACGGGTATTATGAAGTTTTTGTTTATCTCTTCTGGGTCAGAAAAAGGAAGAAATTAGTATAGATTTTCATATAAAGGGGTTAGAACAAGACATTCTGACCCAGAGTTGTTATATGGGTGATTATGGAGATGATTTCTGAAAATATAGTGGAGGTAACTTTGTTTTAGCAAAAGTATGGTTGTGGCTCTCCTTTTCCAAGGTCACAGATCAGAATTAGACCACTGACTGAGTTATGGTCCAAGTCTGTGTTCCCTCTCTCTCTTCACTGTAAGAGCCTCTGCTCTGAAGGATACTTAAATTGCCTCTGGACTAATTATTTAAGCTGTTGCATTGAGAAGCGGAGTAGGGGAGTTTAAACAAAAAAGAGTGAAAATTTGTACCTGATTTGAATAGCCCTGAATTCCTGGTTTGCCTTGGCTGTGATCTGTCACTTGTCATTCAACATTCTGAGCTTTTATCCCTTCATCTATAAAATAGGTATGTAAGCTTTAAATATTTCTCTTCTTTCTAAAATTCTTTTATTCTCTCTGACTTACCTGCCACAGAGTTGGAAATATGAAAAATAGATACAACGGAATTCTAGAAAGTTTTTTTTTTAAAGTGTATGATTTTTAGCACTTCAGAAGTCTTACAAAGTTGTGAAAAAGATCTTCCCAGGTTATAAGATGTAATTTTGTCATTGGAAATGCATAGTACGTTTTGTGTTTGGAAAACCCTCTAGCCAATTCTTTAAAGCATCTTAAAGTTCAAATGAAACTCTTATTGACAAATTGAATAAAATTAATTTTAACAACCTTGGCTCTAATACAGTTTAAAAATTATTCTTTTAGTCCAGATTGACCAGATGAATATGAAACTTTGCCTCTTTGGTTAACTCTTAGTTAAAAAGTGATGTCTTTCTGGGTAAAAGTAAAAAGGAGACATTCCTTCTTAGAAAGGTTTTGCATAGTTCTGTCTCTGCCTTTGAATTGTGTCTGAACACAACCTTAGACTAGCCCTTTCTTGAACCTGCTTGCACTTTCGGAAGTCAGCAGTGGAACTGGCCCTACCTTGGCAGTTGTTGGTCATTGCAGTTCTTGATTTTACTAACTGGTTAGGCACAGTCCTGTTTTCTTACCTCTCCTCTTCGTCACAGGTGGGGGCAGGAGGATGCATCTGTCAGCAGTCTGGGGTTCTGTTCTGGGGATAGATATCCCGAGTAGATGGGGTCTGAGGATTCCAGAATTTGTGGTTCTGAGGTGGTGGTTTCTATGCAGTATTTTCTTCGGACTTTGAGAACTCTGGGATTCATTTTTTTATGGCTCTGTTTGGCTTACTTATTGATACCAATATTAAAGATATTGGGGATCTGAGAGTTCAGGGTTATTTTGGTAAGCATAGGGTGAAATAGGTGAGGCAAAAAAGAAAGAAACCACTTCCAGCTGGGCGCCGTGGCTCATGCCTGCAATCCAGCACTTTGGGAGGCCAAGGGGGCAATCACCTGAGGTCAGGAGTTTAAGACTAGCCTGGCGAACATGACGAAACCCTGTCTCTACTAAAAATACAAGAATTAGCTGGGCAGGGTTGGTGTATGCCTGTTGTAGTCCCAGCTTCTTGGGAGACTGAGCCTCAAGAATGACTTGAACCCAGGAGGCAAAGGTTGCAAGTCGAGATCACGCCACTGCACTCCAGCCGAAACAACAGAGTGAGTGAGACTCCATCTCATAAACAAAAACAAAAACAAAGAAAAACTGCTTCCACTTGTGGAGCAGGTGCCTTGCTTGGCCCTTGGAACACTGCACTGTACTGGTCTCTGGAGCAGGAGTTTAAAAGGGGTGGAGGAATAGCCCTCTGTAAC